GTAAGAATCTAATACAAAAGAAAGACCCACAACACTAGTTTTCTTTATATCTTTAGATTCAGTCTCAAGTAGAATCTTTTCATGTTGCCTTCTAAACAACTTCCCTTGATTCCTTCCCTTTGCATGGTCCCGGTGACAAAGGTTTAGAATCTTTACTATTAAAGGAATTAACATAACACTATAAACTCTACTTCTACCCATTTTAACACCACAAGGAAAACAAAAAAACAAATGAACCTGCTCTGTTTATAAAACATAACCATTTGAAACACATCTCAAAATGCACTTCTCAGATATGAAGTATTCACGCTTCCTCTTGATTATCTTTGCCTTCTCTATCTTCTCACAAACGGCCGTGGCATTCATTGGAACATACGGTGTAAACTACGGTCGCATAGCAGACAACCTCCCAGCTCCTGAAGCAGTAGCAACACTCCTTAAATCAGCAAAGATCAGAAACATACGTATCTACGACGCTGATCACTCCGTCCTCACGGCATTCCGTAACACCGGGATAGAGATCATTGTTGGCTTAGGCAATGAGTTTCTTAAGGACATTAGCGTTGCGGAAGACCGAGCCATGACTTGGGTTAAAGAAAACGTTGAGCCTTTTATACGAGGTGGTACTAGAATCAGTGGTATAGCTGTGGGAAATGAGATTTTAGGTGGCACCACTATTGAGCTTTGGGAAGTTCTCTTACCAGCGGCCAAAAACGTTTACTATGCTCTTCGCCGTCTCGGACTTCACAATATGGTCGAGGTACATCCTAACACATTGTTGTCATAAATAGATAGACAAAAAAAATAATTATTATTCTTAAATTTTGTGTTAAAATCAATTGATATGACTAAATGATCATTACGGTATATATAAATTACCTTCTGTTTCTTTTTATTTCACATTTTAACTTGTAAATACATATTACCAAAAAAACTTTATTTTGCATTTTAAAAACAAAAACATCATTAAATATTTAACCAATAGAAAAACAAACTGAAATATAAAAAATTATAGATTATGGCGAAAATCTAAGATGACAACAAAAATATAGAAAGTTTATACTTCCTCTCCTTTAAAAAGTTTATGTATAAGTTTTTTCACACATATTGAAAAACATATAAATTTTTGATTACTAATGTATAATTTTCGTAGCTAACAATTATTCATAATTTATAACCAATAGAATTTTATAAACACAATAAAATTAACAATTTATCATTAATTAATGCATTAAAAATGTAAAAATTATATTTTTTTGAAATATTTTTTTTTTTTTAGAATATTGATCTTATTGAAACAAAGAGAATAGAGGTTTGCATTGAAATTTGAAAACATCATCTAATTTTGAAACCAATAAATATTTAAAACGTCATCTAAAAACTGAAAAAATAACTAATTATGACAAACTTTTATTTAATAACACTTTGTTTATAGGTGTCGAGTCCACACTCGGAGGCGGTGTTTCAGAACTCGTATCCACCGTCGTCATGCACGTTCAGGGACGATGTGGCGCCGTTTATGAAGCCGTTGTTAGCATTTTTCTGGCAAATAGGGTCACCGTTCTACATTAACGCTTACCCTTTTCTAGCTTATAAATCTGATTCAAAGGAAATTGACCTGAACTACGCCATCTTCGAGCATACCAAAGGCATTTACGACCCCAAAACTAGACTTCATTACGATAACATGTTCGATGCCATGGTCGATGCTTCTTATGCTGCTCTCGAGAAAGCTGGTTTTCCAAAAGTGCAGGTACCTATACTTCTTATCACTATCTATGTATATTTATGTGTTAGGATTGCTTGAATGCCACGTTTCTTCGGATATTTGGGTGTTCTCGATTCATTTTTTTTATATAGAAATATAGGAACTATTCAGATATTTGAAAATTTCGATTCGATTTCGGTTTCCAGTATTTTGGTTCGGTTCTGGTTCAGTTTTTTAATTTCGTTTTTTTTTTCCAGGCTAGTACAAAGCTTTTTATTATTAGACATTTGCTATTTTGAAACTAAATACACTATGGTAAAGAAGTGACACACAAAGCTTTTTATTTTTAGACATTCGCTATTTTGAAAATAAATACACTATCGTAAAGCAGTGACACACACGCTATAAAAAACCCTTTGACTATATTTTTGTTTAAATGTTTTTTTTGATAAAATTGTTTAAATGTTAATCTAACATGTATATTTAAAAAACACAAACAAAAGTATTTTAACACTAACAAAAAAATATAAAATCCATTTGAACAACATGACTAACGTATGTAACATGTTGTGTTCACTTAAAGAAATGATTCCATGGGTATTAAAATGTCACGTGAACCTGATTCAATCTTTCTATTCTACGTAGGTCATTGTTTCGGAGACAGGGTGGGCATCAAAAGGCGACCCAGATGAAGCAGGAGCATCAGTGAAGAACGCGAAAACCTATAATAAGAATCTAAAAAAACGTCTAAAGAAGAGAAAAGGCACACCGTACAGACCAAACATGCCTGTGAGAGCTTACGTATTTGCTCTATTCAACGAGAATCTGAAACCGGGTCCTACTTCCGAGAGGAACTTCGGTCTGTTTAAACCGGACGGTAGTATTGCCTACGACATTGGTTTCAAGGGACTCAAGGACTCTTCTGCTACACGGTGTGGGTTTGGGACGTCCTTAAACGCACTTGTTTCGGCTTGTGTTGTTATGTTTCTTCTTCTTCACCGTTTGGTGTGAGTGTGTTGTGGTTTTCCATGATTTCAAATTGACCCCTTTGGTTTATGTAAATTTATTTAATCTAACCCTGTAATTCTTGATTTGTTTGTGATTAATCACTTTTTAATTGTTATTATAAAAGTGTTTCAAAAAAAAAATGTTTCAAAAAAATTGTTATTATAATAACTTCTTATGTTATATCTGCATGTGGCTATATATTGGAATGTATTGTTTATAAACTTGCAATGTTAGATTTTTCTACAAGCTCTTTATATACTTGCCCAATTTTTCGAGTTACTAACACAATAAAATTAAGGGCAAATCTCCAAAATAGCATATTTCTAAATTTATGTCACAAAAATAGCCCTCAAAAATTAAAATAACCAAAATAGCATTTTATCTTTTGAAAATTAAAAAAAAAAATTATTTTTCAAAAATTGAAATCTTATCCAAAAACCCACTCTTCAACTCTAAACCCTAAAACCTAAACCCTAAACTCTAAACCTTAAACCCTAAATCCTTAATCCCACCCCTTAACTCTAAACTCTAATATCTAAATTAATTTATCATTGGGATATAGGTGTATATTTATATCTTTTGATAAAACATTAAGTGCTATTTTGGTCATTTTTATTCTTAAATACTATATCTATGAAAAAAGTTTTTTTAGTGCTATACTAGTCATTTTTTTCTAAAATTAATGATCTAAATGCATGAACAAATATTCTGAAACTACAAATAACTTTTACAACTATTTTTCTAACAAAACTATAGAGAACGTTTGTTTCTTATGGTTCCCGTTCCCAAGACCAAGGAATCAAATTACAAATTGATTCTACAAATGATACTGTTTGGAGAGAAGTCACCCAAGTGGTGAATAATAAAGTAGCAAATCTTTTGCTATCTTCATGATCTTGAATAAGACTATTTAAGTTAGCTACACTATTTGTTAATACTTAAATACATACACACACCATTAACGTGTTTTTGTATGAAAAACTATAGTTATAATACTTATGAAAATCTCATACTCTTTTAATTTCTCTATTTTTTTGTCGTCTAAAATGCCATACTTGACATATTAAAACAACAAACAAGACTTGCGTAAACGTACGTAGCTCTCAAACCTCATATTCATCGTTTTCGTATGAATTTTCGTAGCCCAAACAACCTTCCTTCCACAAGTTTCATAACATCTCTTATATAACCAATCTCTCTAAGCCTCTCAAAACGTTCCTCCGTTAAAATCTAACGGTCATGTCAACTACAACCATCGTCCCACTCCGTCGCAGTTCTAACTCTCTCAACGTATACCACACTAACGCACTCGCCTTTGACGGAATCGTTGAGTCAACAAGTACTAGCCAAATGGAGGAGATTGTTACACAAAACGACGACGGCTACACCAAGGGAGGAGGAGGAGGGAGAAGCAAGGTATCGTTTATGACGTGGAGGATGTGCAATGCTGTCCACGTGGTGAGAGTTCATTGGGTACCGTGTTTGTTAGCGTTAGGAGTTCTGTTCTTCACGGCCGTAGAGGAGTACATGCTCCAGATGATTCCGGCTAGTTCTGAACCGTTCGATATTGGTTTTGTGGCGACGCGCTCTCTGTATCGCCTCTTGGCTTCTTCACCTTATCTTAACACCNGTGGAGGATGTGCAATGCTGTCCACGTGGTGAGAGTTCATTGGGTACCGTGTTTGTTAGCGTTAGGAGTTCTGTTCTTCACGGCCGTAGAGGAGTACATGCTCCAGATGATTCCGGCTAGTTCTGAACCGTTCGATATTGGTTTTGTGGCGACGCGCTCTCTGTATCGCCTCTTGGCTTCTTCACCTTATCTTAACACCTTTTTAGCCGCTCTCAACACGGTATGTCGTAAGAGCATTAAACATGCTCAAAGAAACTTAGGGATCAAAATATATTTATTGAGTACTCATTTCAGACCGCTTTTAACTTGAAAGGTTTTAAATATAATAAAAAAGGCACACATGGTGATGAGTTGGGGAAACATCACATGCCAAAACAGACAAGTGAAATAATAACGTAACGTTCTCAATGTTTTAAGAGATAATGTACATAAACATAAGTTACTAAACTAAAACTAAACTTTATCATTTTCTAAATAAATCCATTGATCCAATTTTTTTTAGAACGTCTATCCTGAGTCCTGACCACATGCAAATAATGAGACTGGTTAATTTAATTATATTGGACATTGTGGTTTTAACTATTTAGATTTTTGGGGCCCTGGAGACAGGTCTTCGTAGGGATGCAAACGACGTATATTGTATGGACATGGTTGATGGAAGGACGGCCACGAGCGATCATCTCGACTTGCTTCATGTTTACTTGTCGTGGCATTCTTGGTTACTCTACTCAGCTCCCTCTTCCTCAGGTTCCAATCAACATATTTCTCTCTTTATATATATATACATATATTTGAGCAAAATTTTAAAATATAGTTTGGAGATGTTCTACCAATAAATTTATTATTCTTTTTGTGATATAACATAACACATGAATTTATATGTGCTATCTTGTTATACTATATATTGATGTTCTAAACGACTCTTTTTGTAGTGTGATAAGATAAATTTTGTAATGTAATAAGATAAATACAATCCTGGAAAAATATTTAAATATTTTCTTAACAGGATTTTCTAGGATCAGGGGTAGATTTTCCGGTAGGAAACGTATCATTCTTCCTCTTCTATTCGGGCCATGTGGCCGGGTCAATGATAGCATCCTTGGACATGAGGAGAATGAAGAGGTTGAGATTAGCCTTGCTTTTTGACATTCTCAATGTATTACAATCATTCAGGCTGCTCGGGACGAGAGGGCAGTACACGATCGATCTCGCTGTCGGAGTTGGCGCTGGCATTCTCTTTTACTCACTGGCTGGAAAATACGAAGAGATGATGAGCAAGAGACATAATGTAGGCAGTGGTTTTAGTTTGATTTCGACTCACTAGTTAATTAACTTTTTTTTCTTTTAAAAATGTATAGCCTGGACATAATTTAGTTGAAATCTAATTATTGTGAAGTTACCATAGAGATTTTACATCTTCTAGACATTATATATAAAGTGATTTTGACATGTATCATGACCACATTCAATTTCACTAAAAATGATAACATGTTATAATAGACTAGATGGTATAGCTTAAAGCAAAATATGATATAGACAATTACATTTAATCTTGATTTTTATTTTTGATAAACATTTAGAATATAGTAATAACTCATATATCATCATTAACATAAATATATTTAAATAGAAAATTAAATAATAATAAATAAAAATAGAAAAACTTTTACAAATTTCTAAATAATATTTTTGTACATTATTATAATTATACAATTTTTATTATTAAACAAGATTTTCAAAATTTTATACAATCTTTTCAAAAAGATATTAATTTTTATCAATAAAATTTGTTTCCTTTTGATATCTATAATTTTAGAAACTTTTAGTTTTATTTTATGCTAATTCTATAATTTTATAAAAGTTTATTTTAATATATATTAACCCAAAAAGAAATGAAAATCTATTTAAGATTATAATTGTAAATATCTATATATATATGTATATATATATATATATATATTCTTAAATCAATTTTAAATAAATTAAATTGTTTGTTTATCTTAATTTTATGGCTAACTAAATCAAAATTTATATTAGAATATTGATATAAAAATAACATATTTAAATATTAACAAAATTTCATTTAAAACATATTTTAAATTAAAAAAAAAAATATTTTGAATATAGTGTAGAAAAACACCTAAACAATAATTTCATAGAATTCAATTATGCATCGGGTCAGCCTGGTATATGATTTTAGAGCTCGTTTATACGGTGGCTTAAAAATCAACAAGTTGCACTTTTCGTAGTCAATTACCATGCACATGTCTATATATTTTTCATTCAGATACTGATATTAACATATCTATATTTATATTTACATGAATGAATAATGATTCTATTAACTAGAATCAGATGCCGGTTTGTATGATAGTAATAATTCGAAATTGAAACCAATCCTCCATCGCCAGCTGTTTATTCTGTTACAGAGATTTCTCAAAAATGATATTTAAAATAAAAGAAAAGAAATGTCAATAACCGTCGCAAGGTGTTTCTTCAAATTACTCATCGGTCTCGTCTATACGGTTGAACAAAAAGGTTCAGCTTCAAAACCTACATCAAGGCTCTTTAACGTGTGTTTTCATATTTGTTTCCACACTAACAAAATACATCAAAACACAAAATTCACCACTTAAAATCGGAATCATCCAATCCCTGAAAAAAACTCATGAACTTAAGATATTGGATTTTCTCACATTAAGCAAAATCAAATTTTATCAATCGGTCATACCCCATCATTCTAGGATTCAACAAAATTCAGGAACTAATATGTTTTTCTTCTTGACTAAGCATTTTTTTATCATTATAGGTTAAGTTACCTTATTTGTTGAGAACTGGTTGTGTTGGTCTTGTTTAAAAATGATCAAATTTTGTGCAAGCAAATCATGCTTTATGGTTCAGTTGATTATATGGAGGAAGCAAGGAAGTTCTTTGGTGATTGTTGCAATTCCAAAGCTGTATGATTAGCAGTTTTGACTACATGGATAGCAATCCTAGGTATCACAGTCATGATGTTGAATCTATTTCGATATTTAAGAACTTCCATCTCTGAGACTTGACAAAACACATGCAACTTTTGGAATGCAATGTTTGCATGCTTGAATTCTTCTCCTTCTCGACCTGAATTTGACAGTCTCAGACCATTTAAGACCAAATCATACTCCTCTTGTCTATTCTCTTGAAAGTTATGCTTAGAAGCGGTTTAGGTGTTTTAAACAAAAAAATATTTTATTTATTATTTACCTCTAAAATTCTACTTATATAAAATTAAAATAAAGAAATGCTTTAGAATATCACTAATTTGTTTTTCTTTTACAAAATAGTTTCCCCATATCAAGTGACCAAAATAAATTTTATTAGATTAAAAATATATTTATACCATTAGAGTTAATTAATCTAGATTTAAAAGTATGTCATACATGACACTGATCTACGTTCGGAGCTTTGAAATTTAGAAAACAGTTTTGTACCAAGATATTGTATGTAGCATACTAGTTATGAATGTCTAAATATAGTATATAGTTACATGCAATACAGAAGAAACAAAATATTCATGTTCTGTTTGGCCAAGGTGTCCATGGCAACTCTAGATACTCAACTGGTTTGAGTTTAGGAAACACAGTTTTGAAATCCCATTCAAGGCCTCTAAACACGATCCCTTTGGGTGTAGCTACGTGAGCACATGAAGATTTAGGACACATCTCAGCGTCAAGATAAGTGTTTTCAATCACGAGTGTGGCGGTTCCTAGGGCTGACCGGAAATAGCAGATGTGAATAGCAGGTATCTTGCTTTCACCTTTTATGAGAATGATTGGGAATGAAAACTGCATTCCTGGTTTTGTTTGTCGATGCCAACCGTAGTCTTTGCGTTTAGACTGGCATCTATAAACAATCTCTGGGCGGATTAGCCCTGTCATTGCGTTACGGATTGTTATGTTCATGTTTACGTAGTCTGGTTCCTTGAGAGCCACGGTGTTGGAAGAAATCATTATGGCTTGTTGAAGAAGGCACCACAGAGCTAGGTTTTTGAAGATGTTAACGTCCATCTTTTTTCTTGTGTGTGTGTTCTTGATCGTTCGTTTAGCCTCTCTCTCATAAATATATGTTACGTGCAATATGGTTTACCTTGAACTTTCCTTCTGTTTTTATTTGGAAGTAACAAACAATCGATTTGTTTTTTCTGTGTGACAAATAAACAAACAAACAAATGGTTACATATGCTAAAAATGAATATTTAGTTCTTAAGAAAACTGCCAATGCTTAAAGCTAGTTCATATTACGTTTATTCGGTTGTTCAATCTTTTTGTTGGCCTATTCTTAAGCAATTTTACACGACAGGTTCATCACGTTTAAGATTTGAAGTAATTAGTTTAAATTTATTCACAGTTCATGATGAAATAAGCACAGATCTTGATGATGAATCTTGTAGGCAGTGACTCTTGACATTTGAGTGGCATAACAATCATCATAAGTTTTAGTTTCATGAGCCTATTGGTTTGGCCACTAACGTTAAGTCACATAGTGAATCTCAAAAAAATTTGCTAAATCAATTTTTATCCACAAACCTTCATATCGAAATAAACAGATTTGTTGGGAAGGAAACTCTAGGATAATGATAAGAATAATCTCAAAAGTAAAAACACTAGAATTAATAGACGACACTATACTGCTACTGCTTCACCTATGAATGAGTAAGACAATATATAACCTACAATCACAGAGCTCTCCTCTCAAAGTGTATGATAATAACTAGGCTGTGCTGAGCTGTGCTGATTCAGACCTGACCTCACCTCGGCTGTTGATCTGACCCTGGTGCTGAGGAGACGCTAGGTCCTGCACCGTTTTCTGGTGGTGGAGACATTCCCCACGTCCCTTCTGGTCCTGGTGGTTCGATCACATGAACACCACCATCAGTAAGCCCAACTGCAAACTGGTTTGGCTCCGAGGGATGTGCTGCGATGGTGGCTGGATATATTCTCAAGCTGTTCAACAGAGAGGAGATGTTACTGATATTACGTTGGCTACTTGTCATAAGATGTTGTATTGGTCAATAAAGAGGGTCCATTACCTCGGGTTTGAAGGCAAATATGAACTGGGATCAATGCGGCACTTCAGTTGCAATGTCGTTGCCGTCAAGACACTCACACTTCCATCATCAAAGGCTGCATAGATGGACTGGCTATCACATGAGTATACAGCATCTGTCACTGAACCACTTGACTCCGTTGGTATCCACTGGAGTAACAGAGAGAAAGCAACAGATCAAGTCTTGAAACACACACTGAAAAAACAGTTAAATTCAAAGCTTTATAGAACAATGTAGCAACAGACCTGCTTCACGTTCTCTAATTTAGGAGCCTCATATATGGCTAACTGGCTGGCATGGACAACAAGAACATGTGTCTGATCCTGATGGAACTGAACACGTGTATGAGAAAGTGGATTTGGCGAATGCCCGCTGGGAATTTGTATCTGTTTGTTAGCTTGCTTTTCCCATCCATCCATGCTCCATACACAAAGCTAAACATAAAAACCAATCACTCAAGATCTTTTATCTGAACATAAATGGAGCAGGGAACTTAAACAGGCAATGTAGCATACCTGAGAATCAGCACCAGAGGATACAAGTACATTTAAAACGTTTGAGAATGCTAAACCAGTCACTCTCTTTTGATGACCTTTCAATTTACTTTTAACCTAAACATGAATCAATACAAGCCAAAGTTTGTTAGAAATATTTATTTTATGAAAGATGAATAAAAGTCTTATGCACTTACCTCATCCACTCTAACATTGTAGATTTGAATAGAGGAATCATCCATTCCAATAGCAATAATGTTATTATCTTGAGGATGGAAGGCGAGAGAAGTCGCTGCTGGAGGAGGCGCCATGAATGTAGTCATCGTCTGCAATTAAAACAAAGACATATAAGTGAGTAAATTCGAAGCTTGTAAGAGACGTAACTCAGAAAAGGAGAGGAACCTTAAAAGTCATCATGTTGAACAAGGAAATTTTTCCCCCGGAGGCTGACATGACATAAGAATCATTCTTCGAGAGCGCAAAGCATGGAACTACGTCTTCTTTGTTTCCCTCACGTGTGTCATTTGTCATTAGTACTCCACTAGTTGGCTGCCAAAGCTGTGGTGGGACATTACTGTTTGCCTAAACACGCAAAAAACAATATAAGCATGAGTGTCAAAATCACCACTAGATGATGATGTACCTTTCCAGAAACATTCCGCTCACTCTTCTGCCATTTCCATAGTTTGTGTAGTGCATTCTCCGCTAATGCCAATATGGCACCTCCAGAGTTTGTATATATTA